ACCAGAATGAGCAAACAACACGCAAGACACAACGATCAATATGTCAAACTGACGGTAATCAAAAATGCGTATCGATCGATACAGGATGCGTTGATCGACACAACCTCCTTCTGTCGATCGACACACAACCTAGAAAAAACCCAGAATCGAACATATCCTCTCATGGTCGATTCTGGACGCGTTTCCGTCGATCTCCTGCACAAAATCCACCAATACAACATGAAATCCAATCACAAACAACAATCAATCGCATCCTATCAATTCTTTTACCCAGATAAGTCATGGTCACGCACTCACCTTGATTCCGGTAAAGAAAAAGGAAGAAAACGATGAAGAACGCGAAGAACACAGAAACTCCACTCCGAATCCTCTCCCAAATCGCGATCTACCCTCCCAGAAACGATCTCAAGAGACTCACAATCACACTAACAAACTATTAGGATCAAGAACTTGAAGAAATCAACAATGATTCTTCTTTTTCTTACAAATCCTCTCTCAAACTCTCTGAAAACTTTCTGGAACTTTCTGGAAACTGAAAAGACGACCAGAAACGTGGCTATCCCCTTTTATACTGAAGCTCTAGGGCTTCCCTAAACCGGCCTGCCAAACCGAGCAATTGGAACCAAATCCGTCGGTCCAATCTAAGCCTGTGTCGATCGACACACACCCTTTGTGTCGATCGACGCAACGCCCAAAACACGACTTCTCACAAGTCAAAAACACGCGTGTCGATCAACTCACATGCGTTACACATCTTGTCTCACCCATCATCTCTATCCCTTTGTCGGAGAAACCTTTGTCGGTGGTTGCTAATTCAAGGGCCTCTGCTCAGCCGCCGGTATCTTCTTCAACCTTCCTCAAAGTTATACAATAGTGGGCTTGGCCCAAGAGCTTAATGAAGTGGGCTTTAGCCCAAATCTCATTACTTCAAACTGGAAAAATCGTTGTTGTGAAGCTATGATATTCCAAGACTTGACTTCTCTTATTTTGGGTATGTTTGTCTCAACTTCCTCCCTTTTTAGGGAGAGATCTCTTTTCTTTGAAAAGTGGATTCGTCTCGGATTTAATACTGGGATTGTATTTCAACTTCTTCACCGACTTGACATCTTGCGAAGATGCAACCGGCTTTGTTTCGACAAATTCTGGAGGTGGGAGTTGTGTTTCAACGTCACAATGTAAAATGACTAAGGTTCATCATTCCGGCTTTGCCGTGAAACTTCGATCGACGCATTTAAGCTTAGTCTTAAATCCGCTGTCATCCTATCTTCAAGATCTATCAGTTTTAGCTTGTATTGTTCTTAAGTTATATTTGTGTAACCAAAGAGGTTCGAGTTTTTCTCTCTTTTCATTGTATCTTGGAAATTAAGTAATGAAATCGATGTTGCAAAAAAAAAAAAAAATTCAATTACCTTTCTTCAATAGAATATTATAATACTAGAACAGGACCCGTGTTAATACGCGGGT